CTTTTTTATGATAATGCAAAATTCTAATGACGACTCCTTATTTATACAAATTAAACAAAATCAATATTACAAGTGTGAAATTTCTAAATTGGCCTTAATAAATTTTTGGTCTGAAGACTCCGCTCCATCCCTCCCCGGGAGGTGTTGAATAAAATGTGCATAAATTATATTTCTTTAACCAAAAACAAGTGCATACAAATACGATAGGGTAACGGCTTACCGAGATCATGGTATGTTCATAAAAGTTCAGCAAAATAATGACTTTCTAACATGTAGAAATAATAAGGAGATGAAATAAAGCGAGGTATGAGAATGCAAATCTTCTTAAGACATATTTCGGTCCTCTATACTAGTGCTAACAATATCAAATAGACGGCTGACTCCTAAAATAAAACTCTTTTTCCACACAATATTAATTTTGTTGGATGAATCAACGCTTGATTGTACTATTCTAGAACAGAATATATTGAAACTAAATAACAAATATCGAACATGAAACTCAAAAATAATTTGAAAATTATTATGACAAAATTTAGAGGAGGAAAGAATTAAAATTCAATTATATGCAATTGATTTGTAGTAGGAAAAAATGAATTAAATGCTTCTATTTATAGATTTTTAAGTGACTTTTCGAACGGTTGCATCTTTTCATATAGATCACATCTTTTCACATTAAATGATGTACTATACACTATCAAATAGTCATGCATTTTCATCATGCACATTTTAGATAGTCACGCCAATTCTAAGCAAAATGACTCTTTATATGCATCTTTTGCAATTAAAGAGAGACATATTGGAAAGATATTCCAATGTTCTATAAATAATACCAATTATTCCTACAGGAGGAGGCTTCCTACACAGTGACAATTATTAGACTCAATAATTTAACATGTTTTTCATGGAATTTCTGAGAATCCTCAAGTCAAGTAGTGGATATGGTAGTACTAAATTAGTCGAGTGGCATGGACAATGTATGGAGTGATCGTAGAACAATATGGAGATGTGTAAGAAACTATTAAAGTTCGCCGGATGTCGTTTGATCCCATGATAAAAACGTATGTTCAAAAACATTTTGTATATGACCCCAACTTCAAGGGACAAGTCACTGCAGTTTTGGTTGGTTTCACAATTTTTTTTTGCATTCATCCATGCCTATTGCATCAAGATGCTCAACTTCCAAACAAGATAGAGCTGAGTGAATCATGTGATATCGTAGGAAAGCATCCAATTCCTTTAAATCGGACTTGAACAATTCCTCTTCTCGTCCATTGGAGAATCGAGTGTTATAAACTTGAAATTTTCAGGACTTAGATGTCAAAAACAAAAATTGAGGACTCAAATGGAGGAACGAAACAGAAATTATCCCAAGTTTCTGAGGCGGGAATCCATGCTCATTTGAGACGAGGCAACACGAGGTAGAGATGGAACATGTTGGCATCCTATGCTATGATTTGCGTTACTTGACTCTAGCGAAAGAAAAAATATATAAATAATGACATTTATTTTTATTTATTTTTTGTTTTTTTCTTGGACATAGTCGAGAAATGTTCTTTTTTCTTATGTGGTTAATTCTACACGAATAGAAGGCAATTAAGTTCCGATTAACTTGGATAATATGACTCAAATTGACGTAGTTTATAAAATTTAATAATTAACGTATAAAGTGTCAAAAAAAAAATGAAAAATTTAAGTTACATATTTTATCAACATCACACGGTCCGCGAACAAGTGAAGAAGGCCGGCAAACCACCCCAATCCATCACCTCAGCCCCAATTGTTCAAAAATTTTGTGGCAATGGTGCGAAAAGGCCAAAAACAAACAAACGGAGAAATGGTCAAAACTTTTCGAGTCATCATCACTTCATACGCGCATTCACGAAAGTCAATACCTCAGTGGTCGTCGACCCCCACCCCACTCCACTGTACCCAACCTCAAGAATCTCCTTTTTACTTGTGTTCGTCTATTGAGTTACCTCAGTGGGAAAATGAAAATGAAAGAAAAAGATGGTGGAAAATTGCATCCCTTCTTTGACCCGACATTCAACAGTAACAAAACTGATGTAATTATTGTTTCTTCTTATAATTCCAGTCCGCCCTCAAGTCTCACCTTAACATCAAATCGAAGAGGCTTGCGAATACCACCAGTAACTATCTATTTATCTATCTCTTTTTATTGCTAATTTTAGCAGATATTTTTGCTTATAAGCATACATGTATCTGTTGTTCGGTTTCTATTTCGAACAAAAGAGTAGATTTTTTTTTTTTTTAATTTCCTTTTAATTTACTTGAGGTGGCTTGAAAGATATGATCCCCTTTTGTGGTATCTGAGGTGGGTTTCTCTGATTTCTTTTGAATTTTTCTTTGTTAAATAATTGGAGTGGGTGAATTTTCCGTTGCAGGGGTGCATAATTGAGTTGATTCGTGTGGGTTTTTGTTCTTGCTTTCCTAATTTCATGATTTTAATAAAACGAAGTAGTTAACTCTGCGTTCCTGTAGGCAAAATTATGTGTTTACAGTTTGTTTCATGATTCATCACTATTGACACTTCGTTCTTTCCTCCTAATTAGGTTTTTGATGTTGTTGGAAGTGGAAGCTGTACTGTTAAATTGACTATAAATTCAATTGAATGATTATGTGTTATCTTCATCTGATGAAATTCTGAGTATTCTTCCAACTCGCAAACTCAAGTGTTGAT